GTTGGCTGTTTGCTTCTGATTCATGGGCCCCTGTGCAACACCAGCTGCCTGGATTATCCAGGCAGGAACGGGTGAGAGCATGAGTGCAACAGGGTCATGTGTGCTATGCTAGCACTTGATACAGTCATGGTCTGTCTTGAAGGGTTTGGGAAGACATGTCCACCTAATCACTGAGCATGGAGAAAGAAGAGTGAGAAAGCATGGGGTTCCTTCAGGTGACGCCAGTCAGCGAGCTGGAGCTGTGAGTACACGTGGTAACTGGTCTGCTGACAAGCCACAGATCACATTTTGCTTACAGCATGATTATCCAGCAATTGCTAGTAGCAAACCAGTATAGGCAATATTTAGTTGCTCCTTCACAGACAGAAGGACGGGAAGCTTAAATTTCTTAATAATTTATCATAAATATTGCACTCTGCCCTTGCACAGTGCAGAGTAAACTTGCTTGTAATTCATGCTGGTGTCAGTTCAGTGTCTCTACTTCACTGTAAACTTACATTAGAAATCCTTTCCTTGAAATGATTCCAGGTTTGTTATGCATTATTAACAGACATCTACACTAATACTGAGTGAGCTTATAGTGATTTGTTATACCAGATTCTAGAAACCTGTCATGAGACCACAATTTACTAGTGTTATCTCAACACCTTGTGCAGAGATGCAAGGATGTTTTGGTGACATATCATCCTTGACACATGACACATAGAGTGCATGCTTCAATCAACACGCCGTGCCTCTGGGCAGCGTGGTGCTGCAGCCTCTGCAGGGGAATGCCACTGCCTGTGAAACCTCCTCCTTTGCAACTAGTGGTGATGGCAGTGCTGTGGGGACTGCAGGAAGCAAAGAGCCTAACCTGATATTCAGAAATTAAATACATCAAAATACAACAAGTTTTCTGCAAGATTGTTGATGCTTTATTGTTTGCAGAAATGTCTAAGCAAATCAGAACGTGCTGATGTTTTAATTATTCAGCAAGTGGCTTGAGAAATACTAATTGTAGTAGCTCTGTTAGGACTAGGACCAAGATAAGCTCATTATGATTTGCTTCATTTCATCTTAATTCTGCAGTAACTCACCCTGTTTACTTGAATTCTGGTTGTCCTGATTAACTTGAGCACGGTATGCCCATGTCATAATTCAAAATAGGTGGTGATGATGAGAAAATGCCAACACAGTGATGTTATAATCTGTAAAATTATGCAAGTTGTGGAAAAAATATATATATTATTATCTGTCTCTAAGCAGTGGGGCCAGGATGTATTCTCATAAGCAGTAGCTCTACCTGGCTTTGCTGCAAGCAGAATCTGGCCTTAGCTGTCCGTTAACAAAGAAGCAGCTTGTTTCATCTCTGCCCCACACTGACATCTCTCTTGCAGGAAGAAGGACATTCTGGCCATCAGTTGAGCAGAAGATACTGATGGAGGTGCTTCTTCATGCAAGCAAGACTGCAAGCCTCAGCTCCCTTCCATCTGATGAGAAGATAATGCATGATAGCAATGAGAATGTGTTGCTGTCATGAGCTAAGTGCTGACTTTTGGCCATACCAATGATAACAAAAGGTTACAGAAATGCTGAAACTCAAAAATATAAACACAAATACCAGACCTCCAGCCCTCCCATAGGGCATTTCTAATTGTCAAGTGAAGGGATGGGAATTGCTGTGATAAATGTCATGTATCTTATAGTTTGTTACACAACAGTGGTGGGGGAAAAGGGAAGGTGCAGAAAGGAGAAAGCTGGAACTACTCATATCTACTTCGTAAAAATAACATGCCTTTTGATTAGAAGTGTGTTTTAAGCATATTATTTGAATGTGTAAAGGGTTATGTTGGTCCTGAAAATACCTGATGGCCATCATGTTGCTACAGAGGCATTGTGCCCACCAACACTTGGCCACTATGACATTGCCATCGGGTTCAACAACAAGCAGGGCAAGAGCAGGCAGGCAGGGTGGGACTAACCATGCTCTGGGAGTTATACCTCCACAGCATGATCATGCAGCATTTTTACATATGATGGATGTGGTAAATGACAGCTGTTATGCTAACACTGCACTCTACTGTATACCTGGCACAAGAGTTAACATGAGCCAGTACCAAGATTTGCAGTGTCATGGGTGGTGGGTATGCACCCTTCAAAGCCTCCTGTACTGTGGGAACTTTCAATGGTTTAACCTAAAACAAGTTTCATGCTGAGAAAAATGCTGTGCAAGCACTTGGTTTCAGTTTAAACACCATTTATTTTAAAGCCACCTCTGGGGATGGAAGGATGCTTTTTTTTTTTTTTTTTTTTTTTTAATCAAAATGAGTGAAACCAAATGAAAGGTGTCTGCCTACAAGCAGTGCACAGGAGTAATTATGGTCCTTGCAGTGAAACTCAAGCAAATATTTCTGTGGCAGTTTCTGAATTTTGCAGAGCATTTGTCTGCCTTTACCCCTGCCGGCACCACAGAAATGGGGCACTTCAGCCTAAGAGCAGCTACGGGTGCTGCTGCACCAAACCCCTATAGCCAGTCATTGGGCCACTTGTGACTGAGGAAACAGCATTTTTTGTCCATGTGTCAATGTGGTCAGAGGTGAGTCTCAGACATACTGTGACATAACAGCACGTTCTTCCTCTAGGGCAAGAGCTGCAGCTGAATTCATCAGTAGGAATGGGATGTGAGGGACTTCCTCAGGTGGACTGTGCTGGGCATTCACTTCCAAGTGGGATACCACATTGGGTGCTAACGATGCCATTGACACCTACTCCCGCTCTAACCTGATCACCTCTTCACAGATCCAGCTGGCCCTTTGAAGATATCTCCTCACCCAGTGTTAACCCCAGCTTGCTTTTCTCCCTGCTTCTTGATTCATGGTGGCACAAGCCAGAGCTCCTGGCTGGGTCTGTGCAGGGGACATTGGTCTGAGGAGGGACAGAAGAGAGCTCTGGGGCATCTGGTACTTTAGGCTGAGGAAGAGCACTCATTTGGAGGGTTTGGTGCTGTAAAGCAGGTGATGTGGCTGAGCTTTTTCTGGGAGGTGCCAGGCTGCATGGAACTCCTCTGGGCAGGGGCAAGAAAGATGTCCCTCAGCAGGTACTGGGGTATCACAAAAGCAGCTGGTTAGGTGAGAAGATATCTCATCTCTCATCTATTTCTCACTGGAAGCAGAAAGCGCAGAAGCCAAGTCTGTAATTTCCTGGCTGGACGTGTTTTCTATAGGACCTCTTTCTTCCATGAAAAGGAGGAGATGCCTCCATACCTATCCTCTGGCACTTATAACTGCTTTGTACCAGACAAAGTAAGCAGCTGGAGTGAACGTGGGCCCTCAGTAAAACAAGCTTGGTTTCAGGAAGTCAAAAGAGTTTTGTGATCTCCTGCCTCTGTCCCACTGCATTACTGTGGGCAAGAGAGCAAAGCACAGCCATCCTGCTGCCTTCCGAAGGCATCTGGTAGTCTGTGCAAGCATAGCCAGGTCTCCAGCACCCCTGTCTCTGCTTCTAGGTGTCAATTTCTATCAGACACCTGGAAATCCTGGACACATTTCCAAGAAGACAGGCACAGTCATTTGATTGATTGTTGTTCTGGTTCTTGCTTACAGGTTTAAAACCCACTTGCATTCATAACTCTTCTTCACCCTGCAAATAGCAAAGCAGAGATGGAGCCACTAAAGCAGGAAAGGTCACGTACAGAGTTGTTCACTTAACTCCAAAGGTCTTTACTCTCTCAGTTACAGGCCCTGACTGCCTATCTTCAGTTTGGGTATCTTTAAATTTAATCTGTCTATATTCCTTTTGCATAGCTCTTGGGCAAAAAAGTTTGGCTCTGTAAAACAATATTACCAAGCTGCTGCATGAGGAATGAGCCACACATAGAAGATATGTAAGTACATGCTTGTGAAAAAATCAACAAACACTTCCCTCATATGTGATGATACCTTTTCCATGTCTAGTGTTGTCTTAGCTTCATTTTCATTACTTCACACATAAAAACATAAGTTAAAGGATGTGCAGAATGTCACACAGCGAAGTAAAATTATTGGCTGATCTAAGAACTTCCACCCCAAGCAGAAGACTTACCTTCTAAACTTTGACTCTGTGTCAGAACCAATTACTTTAATGTAGATTTTTTAAAATATATATAGTAGCATCTTAAGGCTTTGTCAATATATTTAAACTTGTTCTACAATATATATAATAATTGTTTTTCAGGGCGGTCCAAAATACATGAAAGATTCTAAAGATGGAGGACTTTTCACTGATGGCAACTTTTAAAAAATAGAAGATAGATAGAAGTTAGATGATGGATAGATAGATAGAAGTTAGACAGATAGAAGTTAGATGATGGAGATAAAAGGCCATGAAATAGATATTAAGGCCATGAAGTAGGTGAAGTAGGTATTTTTACTCTAGCATTAGAGAAGACTTTTAGCTTCTAAATATGCAGAGGCACTATATCAACTCTAACAAACGTGTGCCGGTGATGCATCCAACAGCACTTAATTATCAGTTCTACAGGAAAATTAGGTGAGAAAATTACTTGTCTTTTTATATTTATTTTATTTATAAAAACCCAAAGATGATGACAATTCTCTCACTACAGCATGTTAGACATAGATGGCTTGCCTATCTTATTTTTCTCCCTTGGTGATGCAGATTGATAAATTCCTGCAGTGTGCTCAGTTTAATTTGTTACTCTTTTACAAATTCATATTGTGCAATTTTAAAGATAGCTGTCTTCAAAATTGGTAGACATTAAGCAGTTTCATTTTTTATGGTGTCGTAGATCAGAAATGTTTAGGATGGAAGTAAAGAAACCAATCAAACCAATCTGGTCCACTACCTTGACCTTCTTTGCAATGTGAGGTTCATAGTCATATGTTGATATTTGTATGTCCTTTTTGCTTTCCTCCTCTGTAAATTAATTGGGGCATTAAACAAAATCAAAACATGAAAATTTTTGCAGATGAACAGATGTCAGCTAAAAGATATTGAAAGCTGTTGTGCTGCCAAAAGTGGCTTGTTCCTAAAGGAACTTCAGAGGGGAAGACTTGTTCTATATGTTTTGTGTCTACAAATGTAACTTAACGGCAATGGAAGAAGTGTCTCAGCCTAGAAAATACCAAAGCAGGCAGGGGTGATTCCACACACAGTTTCCTTTTGTACTGAACTTGGTTTCTCTGTGCAGAGGGAGTGGGGAACAACTGAAGTAGCCATTGCTGATGAAAGAAATGTTTGCCAAATACTGTCCTATGCTCAAATAAGGTATCTGAGAGAGCAACAACAGCTACGGTGGTGTGTGTTTCATTTCCCTCACCCTGGGGCATCCCAGGCATAACAATGCTCCACGGAGAAGAAAAGAAAAAAGGAAAGAGAGAAGGAAGGCTAAAAAGTAAGAGAAATTAGTCTTTGAATGTGAAGATGAAAAAATAAATTATCAGGAACTAAACTTGTTTTAATTTTCTCACTGGTACTGCAGGGTTCTGGCATGCATCTGTCAACATGGCTGACGTAGCTACACAGGAATATCGTGATGGGAAAAGTCTTGGGTAGAAAAATCTTACTGTATACATACGATGAAAGAGAAGGGAAAGGCAGTGTTGGAAGAGGACAACCTGTTCCCAGCAGTCAGCAAAGTCTCCAATCATTTTACAGCAGTGGCAGCTGCCTCTTTCTCAGCAGTGAGGCGGGAGTGCCCCTGGGAGCCTGGCATTTCAAGGAGAACAGATCACAGGTGATGTCCTTTTGAGGTCAGATTTGGTTGTCCCTCATGTAAAATACGAACAGTAACGGATAAGCAGGAGTATGGCATTCACAGGGAGGAAGCTGAAGTAGTTGGTACATCAATTAGAAGGAACATGTCAATTTGTGCTTGATTTCCATCAGGTGCCAACCCATTAAGAGAATATCTGGTGAATTAAGACTGGAAAAGGTGAGAAAGAGGGAGAGGGGAAAATTTGGCTGGGGAGGAAGCAGAAGGAAAGCAAGCATAGCCTGCCACAGCGGCCTCCTTCCCATCAGTCTTCTAGGCAGTTGGGCAGGCTTTCTCATGTGCCAGGCTGCTGTTCCTTGTGGGGACATCTGGTATCCCATCCAGCAGTAGGGTCCTTTCCATCCAGACTCCTTCCTCTGGCTCAGGGACATACCAGGCCACATGCAACACACTGAGAATTTAGTAAGTGCTCTGTATAGCACTGGTGCAGGTGGGCAAGGCAATGGCATGGGAACACCAGTGCACACATCTGCTTCTGCTATAGCAGTAAGCTGCTGCTTCACATGGCACATTCCAGTATGTGGAGAAGATCATGGATGGAAAGGGGCTGGTGCATAGTGAGCAGCCAAGAAAGGCAGGTGTGAGACAGATAATTCCAGGTGCAGGTATGTTCATTTTCTTCTGTTTTTTTTTCTTGATAATCTGATAATAAACATGCAATCAGGGATGTAGGTAGCTGCTGGATTTGGTACTGGCACTAGGGCTGGCACGTCCAGCCGATTTTCCTATTGTCTAGGAGTGTGCATGCCATTACAGCCAAGGAAATCATGCTTTCTTGGGACTCAGTTTGAACACTGTCTAATAAAAGGCCTGATGAAGAGAAATTTCTGCAAGATTTATTTTCTCCTGGGAAATTAACCACTGTATACCACAGCACACATGGCATATGGCTGCCTGTCCATGGGAGCACTGCATCCAACTTCTGATTCAGCAAAATATTGGAAGTGGTGTTATGATAAATTGGACTTAAACAGAGGTATTAAGTTTGATATGGGCTTAACCAGTCATTTTTGCGTAGATGAATGTAAAACATGAAGATTTATATTGTGACTCAGAGCTAGATTTTTCTCATGCAAGCAATGGATTAAAAGTGAACAGCTACTGAGTCTGATTGCCAGACTAATTCAGTTTATTTTCTGTGTGTATTATGCTGTCTCTTCGCCTTCTGAATATTATATGAAAATAAGAAAATGGAGGCGTAGAATAGAATTATGGAATGGCTTGGGGACCTTGAAGTCCATCTGGTTCCAGCCCCCTTGCTATGGACAGGGTTGCCTCCCACTACATCATGCTCAGGGCTTCATCCAACCTTGCCTTGAACTCATCCAGGGATGGAGCATCCATAGCTTCTCAGAGCAACCTGTTCCAGTACCTCACCACCCTTAAACAATTTCTCTTTACTGTCTAACCCAAATTCCCCTCTTTCATTATAAACCCGTTTCCCCTTGTCCTATCATTATCAGACAATGTAAAAAGTTGGTCCCCTTCCTGATTATAAGCTCCCCTTGAGTAATAGAAGGCCACAAGGAGGTCTCCCCAAAGTCTTCTCCAGTTTGAGTAAGTCCAACTTCCCCAGCCTGTCTTCACAGGAGAGGTGCTCCAGCTCTCTGATCATCTCAGCGGGCATCCTCTGGACCTGCTCCAACAGCTCCAAGCCTTTCTGTGCTGAGAGCCCCAGGTTTGGATGCAGTACTGCAGATGGGACATCATAAAGGCAGAACAGAGGGGGACAATCACCTCCCTCACCCTGCGAGCCACCCTCTGTTGATGCAGCCCAGGATACTGTTGGCCTTCTGGGCTAAAAGCACACACTGCTGGCTCATCCCCAGGTTTTCATCACCAGGAGCCTGAGGTCCTTCTCAGCAGGGCTGCTCTCAAGGAGTTCTCCCAGTCTGCATTCGTATCTGGGATTGCCCTGGTCCAAGTGCAACACCATGCACTTGGCCTTGTAGTACATCATAAAATATCATACAATCCGCATAGTGCAAAGTATTCTGTCTATATTCTGTCTATTTTATTTATTATTGCTGTTATTATTTTATTCTGCTCTGTTCACTGGAGACAATAGCCATACTCTTTGCAGTGGACAGTTAAGGGTTGTCAAATAATAGGATGGACTTCTTTTCATGTCTGATCATTTACAGATTTGTTTATGTTCTAATGTTCAAGTGTTCCTGCCTGATATATCTTGTCTAGGAAAGAAAATACTCACACCAGCCACCACCACATTAGTGTAAGTTCTTTTCTCAAGTTAATGATATGTTGTAACAGAAAACCTAGGGCAAGATTTAAGCTTCTACTAAACTGGGTGGTTTTACATGATTTGAAAAAATCATTTAAAGCTGAACAAAACAAACCTGAAGTGATATGTAATTTTTCTAAATAATGGTGCTGTTTTGTTGGGTGTTGTTCTCAGACTCCATGTTTCTTCTGGAGGTTCGTAAATTGGTATGCAAATACCCAGTCCCCTTTTGTATTAACCTCATTAAGGTCAATAAGCATTTCACTTTAAACAGTAATGCTCCAAGATGGGGGAGTTCAAAATCTGGTTTGCTTATTTCTTTCAGAATTTGAGGATCCCTATTAACTTGTGAAGAAGCAGAATGTAAATCCATCTTACCAGTAGCTGTTGCACTCTATGAGGTAGTGCAGTTAGCGTTCATTTATATTCTCTCTTAATTTTGCACCAAGTTCAAATGCAGTCTCCTAAATTCACATACTCATGCTAGCTTCCAGTATTTACAATAATTTTCTTTTTTTCTAAGGATTTCTTTTTTCTTTTGCACAGAAAACTTTGCAGAGACACATCAGTGAACGTGAGGGACAAAGTGCTGAGGCCCTGCTCCCTGTGGGGTGGGCCATCACCAACCTCTTCTTTGGTACTGAACAAAAAGGAAGAATCGCAGGATGAGAATTTTGGTAAGATGGAGAGCAGACCTCTGGAAGGGTTCATTCTGGTCTTACTCATAAGTGGACCTTTTCTGTCACCCATTTATAAGTGTTTTGAGTCATTAATGCCATATTTTGTTTCTGTAATTATAGTCTGAGTGTTGGTGGAAACCCTTCAAATACCAAGATCGTCTTGCTGGGAGAGGCAGAGTGGTGCATTTGTTTTTGCTAAATTAGCATTCAAAATCGCCAGATTTGATGGGAATTCCTTCTCTGATGTTAAAGCGTATTGAAGCTTCATGTAGTTTTGGTGGCTCTCCAGAAAAGTTTTCAGTTTGTTTCTTGATATGTTCCAGTTAGGTTTGCAGTAAGCTGGTGGTGGTAGATCTTTTAATATACATGCTGAAAGGAAGACCAAAGGATTGTAATGCTAGAATTGAAACAGAAAATTAAGGTTTGTGCAAGGTTTGAAAATTGGAAATATATGTCTGCTTCCATGGCCTGCTAGGTAGAGCAGAAACAAAGCCAGGGCAGATTTCTGGATTTCATTGCTGGCTTTGTTGTTGGCTGCAGTGAGACTTTATTTGTGCTCCCACTTCCTGTTTTTAAGATGAGGTGTATACTTGCTAAAAAGGGTGAAAAACAGTGGCTCTGCAAGAGCTTTGTCTGATAGGCAGAAAAATACAGTGATATCTTCTGTCACTCAGCAAGCTGTAACTAGCCTTTAAAAGTAACTCAGTTGAAGTGGTAAATGCCCATATTAAAGAAATAAACAAGTCTTAAGCAAACTTTTAACAACAGCCTTTAAACATTTTGGGACCCATCCCACCACTCGGTCTTAATTCAGAATTCTTTTTCTTGCTGTTTGAGAAAGAGTTTAACCATCAAAACTTGAGGGAAAAACCTTCAATATGTTTGTTAGCTTCTCTAAAGTAAGTATCAACTTTTCACCTTTATGTGGCATATGATATGTTGATGCTTCTTCATTGCAAGGAAAGTTGGCTATGTGCAGACAGAACTTTATTTCATGTTTGTGACAAAATCTGAACATGAATTACATGACAGGAAAATGGAGTTAAAATTTTGGGGGCTTCTTCTTAAATTTAAGGGGCGTCTACAGAAGGAATAATCTTCCAAAGAACAGGGGAATGTTGCCTAGGACAACATTAATGAATTACCAAAAAGAAAAATATGATTTTGCGTATGATGTTTCAGAAAATAATTCGTTGTATGGGACTTTCTCCAATTTGTAGTCGCTGGGAAAACTTTCTCTGGAGTCAATTGACGATTGACTAGCACCATGGAATGGATTTTTTTGACAGGAAGTAAGTGTCAAATGCTGGCATTTTGCAATTGTTCACTTTCCCAGCTGCAAATGACATTGCAAGACTAGAAGATCTAAGCCCTGTGAATCTGAACAAGTGTAACCATAATGCCTCACTGGGGCTGTTTGGCTCTGGCTTAAGGTAAGGTTTGCACTGACATGATACAGGGGATTTAAACCTCAGATAAAAATAAGCTGTGTGTGCACACTGCTGGATCAGTTCAAAGGTCCATCTCTCCTCTCTGGAAGTGGCATACATGCCAGGTGACATACAAGGGCCCCCTACATTACAGGAATATGCTTGGCAGCCCCATCAGATGGATTTTACCTGAGTTGTTCCAGGCCATCTTTCATCTCCCCAGCTTTTTCTCACAGTGCATTATCACCATTTCCACAATTATCACAGTTATTGTCCTTCTGCAAGTGAACAGTGAAGCAGTTGAGTTTGTGAGACAGTGTTAAATATAACAATATTTTTTTCTTGCACTAATCTCATACCTGCTTCTTTTCTATTTTCTGTCACACTCTTATTGATGCAGCTGTAGCAATATGGTGATCACAAATTTCAGGAGTGTCAGAGAGAAATTTTCATGTGCAATTACATACACTTCTTTTATTTCCACATATTGGCAGGAAAAAAAAATGTATATTCCTATTATTAGCAGCTGATTACAGTTTCCTTATTCTTTTACTGCTAAAATAATTGCAGAGTTGGAAGAGCTGCATCTCTGTCTTGAAGAGAAAAAACAAGCTTTGGAAATGATGCTTTGTGCCTGTGCAGGTGAGTTTGCTCTTTTGCAAGGTTTATTTTTCAGATCACAGGAAAGGGATTTGAGTGCTAGAATTGTCTGATTCCATGAGAACATCTTCATTTGAAAGGATATCAAGGGCTGCCTGTTAATCCACAGGCTAAAACTTAAGTAAGCAGAGGCTAATGTCTCTTTACTGGTTTAATTAACAACAATTACTTGTCTAAAGATAAGGTATTTCCAGTTAAAAGCCATTCCCTTCAACTCCAGATCAGCTGAGAATAGTTCAAATTAGTTTTAGGGTAGGGTCAAAGACCAGAATTTTAGGGGTTTGAAGTTTTTTAACTGAGCGGATCAACACATATCTGCCAAGGCAGAATCCACATCTCCTTGCAAAGAGGCAGGCCGGCATTTCCATCTGCATGAGAGAGGATTGTTTGGGGGTTTTAAACAAACGACTTAATGGAGTGCCACCGAGGCACACACCGGTCCGCTGGGTATCTGGAGTCTGATCAGCCTCTGTAGTTCATTTCAGTGTCATCGGCAGGGGCATGGAGCTGGAGCAAGCCAAACTTAGCATGTTACGGACCTGTACAAGATTTAGAAAACAAGTGGAAATGTGTAGGAAAAAGAACAGAAAACAGAATGAAACCAAGAGCATTTTTGTGCTCTTCTGCTGTGAGCTTTCTGCTCGGCAGGAGCACAGTCCTTCGGCTGAAGCTGGAGCTGGTGGTGCTTATGGGTCTGCCTTGCACAGCTTCTGGAAATCACTGGTGGGTAGAAGGTGAAGGACTCACTTCATAAAAGTGAACATATTCCACCTGGTTGGAATTTTCTTTGCTGCAACCACGAGACGGATCCCACAGAGAGCGGGCAGTCCACCCTGGCTGATCTGTGGGGTGAATTTGTGACACATGGCTTTTGACTTGTGCCCTTGTGCCTTTTCCTGAACACATTTTTTTACAATGTAGAAGCTTAAAAAAAAAAAGGCACAACAGAAGTTTCTTTGTCTTTTTCTACCTCAGGCTGGAAAAACACTTAAATGTCTGTACCTCTTTTTTCCCAGCTGCATTGGGCAAAGCCACCCCCATATGCCCACAAGTGAAAAGGCACAATGCAGTTCTGTGGCCACCTTCTCCTATCACCAGCAGCCCAGAGTTACCTCAGGTTGAATTCAGTCCCTCAGTGCAAATTGCAGGGGTTGTGCCAGGGGTGCTGGAAGGGCTGTGACCCAGATTTATGCACAGAAGTGAATTTGCAACATGAGTGGGCAAGGGGACTCCAACATGTGTGTGGTAGAAGGAGAGGAACCTCCTTCCCTTCTTACTCCTATTGAGTTTGACTGTGGTCTAATGCTGTTCAGCAAAGGCCAGGCACTGGGCAGGGAAGCAGCGGCTGAATACTCTAACAAGTGGCTTGTTAGTGAGGAATGTCCTGCAGTAAGTATGGAGCAGCCTTGTCACTTCTCAGCCAACTCTCTGAGGACATTGAGGAAGGAGGACAAAATGAGTGCAGCCCTCCTGGGCCTCCCCTTAAGAGTTTAAAAGCAAAATATTGATTTTGAGTTACCCTGCTTCAACTCAGCTTCACTCTCCTGATATTTTTATTCCCTTGTAGATTTCTGACTCCATTTGTTTTTTAAAGAAATCGCTGGTGAAGTCGTGGTGTGTCCATGTAACATTCCTGCGCCTAAAAATATGGTCAATTGACACCTTGAAGGTTTCCAGGCAACTCTAACCATTTGTGACATCTTTAGCTGCATCTCCAGTATGTTCAAAACAGATGAAGTGAATGAATTGATTTTAGCTGTATAAAACCCTTGACGAAAATCTCTTTGTGGCCATCAAAGCCACAGTAAGTAAGTCTCTTGATGATTTGTGGAGTATTTGCTTATGCCATGAATTTGATCCTTCCCACCTCTCCGCTTGTTTTTCAGCAAGCTTTGCTGTGGGCTCCCCGCTCCTGAAAGCACTGCAGCTTCCTTCCCCTGGGCCAGGGCACAAGCCAGAGAGAAATGATGCTGTGCCTTGCCTACCGCTGTAGCATCACCAGCTCAGACCTGAAACTGTGCGTATACCATAAGATACCATCACAACAGCAGAAAATAAGCATTTCACTAGTTGTTTTTAATCACTGTGACACCCAGTTTGCTGCATAAAATCAGGATTGCAAAAGTTGAAGTCAAAATGGTTCTTTGATGGGCTTAAGGAGACAGCTAAAACAACAAAACCTTTCCCTCTCTCCCCAGAAAACATTTGGACATTCACATGTAGTGAGATGTGCAATAGGCTACGAATAAATTAAGTGCAGAATCTCAGCTCCTTTAATGAAATAATCTGCTAAACTGATGTTTGTATGTAGTTCAAAGAAAATCCTTTTGAAGACATATGGCCTTTTCATTGTGTTCCATTTTGGCTCGAGTTTCATAGTACTAATAAAATAAACTGCTGATGAACCTGATTACTTTGGTTTTTTTCAAGGTTCCTCTGAGTATTTCTAACCTTAAAGATTCAGGCTTGTCCAAGCACAGAACTTGGTGTCTCGGTTTTTTCCCCTTGACAAAAAATGGAGGACTGAAGCAGAGGTGGGATTATGCTGAATGCACCACTGATAGGGCTGAAGTGCTGATCATACCATATTGCAGAAATGTAAGTTATTCTTGGCTGATCTGGGAAAGACTCACTGAACCCAAGCGAAACAGCAAATGATTTTGCTGGAAGCAAGGGAAGAGTAAGCTAAGTGTGAGCAGCAAAGTCTGGTTTGGCTAAGTCTTTGACACACATGAAGAGCTGTGCCCACACCTGGTGCCCTAGCCTGACTAAACTGGTAATAACCACCTGATACCTGTAATCTGGCTTGTCTGCATGCAAGTCATGAGATTCTTTCAGTCACTACAGTGTCTAGCCCAGTGTTTCTCATTGAACAAGAGCATTTTTTGAAAAGAAAAAAAAAAAAAAAAAAAAAAAAGCATCAAATCTGAAGATAAAGTGACAAAAAGACAAGTAAGCTGATCTTCTAATAAGCTGCATGGATGGATTGCTACTTTAGGCAGAAACTGGTCAGCGTCATTTTCTTTGGGGACTTTGTTTTTTGGGGAAAAGCAAACAGAACAGCCAAACTCCTTCCCAACTCTAATTTCCTTATTGAGGAACATGAAGTTGGTTCTTATTTAGCAAATTAAATATGGGACCCATTTCTTTCAGTGCTGCCTCATTTATTTGCCACATGCAAGCATGGTAATATATATGTAGAAACATTCTGCTCAATTGCAAATCACTGTGGAAGCTGAGGGAGATAAATACTCAGCCCCTCCAAGACTTCTGTTGTCTAAAAACAGCAGTACAGAATAGTAAGGTGGGTAGAGTACTTGTTTTCCCTAGAAGTCCATCTTTTATATCTTTTGAATGACCTGACTGTAAAGCTAAGAACATAATCTATAGAAACTGAAACACACATGTTATATAGGCAGTGATGCCAACATGAAAAGCCACCTTCTTTTCCTTGCACGTGTTGCTGACACTGCTTAAATGACTACAATCATTTAAGGCCAGATTGGATGAAGACTGGAAGCGTGATACAGTGGGTGACAGCAGCCCATGGCAGTGGGTTGGAACGAGATGGTTTTTATGGATACTCCCAACTCCAAGACGTTGTATGTTTTTACGGTCCTGAGTGCATAGACATGGATGCATGACCTTGGTGCACAACAGCCCACTGCTGAGGGACAGATAACTGAACGAACCTTCTTTTGTGCACTGGGAACAGGAAGAACAGCAGCTGCACGTGGATGCAGCATCTGATTTATCCTGCATTGCAGATGGGAGACCTGATTCCCACAGCGTGGTGGCACTGCGTCAGGACAGAGAAGACCTGGCACTGATTTTAGTGAGAGGGAGAGCAAAATGTGACATGGTGGCAGCGGAGGTACAGTGCTGCTGCAGTTGAGGCACAGAGTGCAGCAGCATCCCTGAAGGCCAGTGGGCTCCTCCTGCCCTGTTGCCCACAGGACAAAGAGATGCAGCATTCTGCCCTTCCTTCCTATCTGTTTCCTGCAGGGCTGCTTCAGCTAGCAGAAAAAAATCATCATCTGATTGCCTCAGCTTACACAGCACAAGCTTGTTTTAAAAAAGCTGTGATCATGTCAGCAAGCACGGCCTGTCACGTTCCCACCAGCCTCCTGCCAAAACCAAAGCACACCCCATGCTGACTGCCCACAGAGGTAACCCAGAGGAGGTGTGGCCTGGGGTCCAGCCTGCCCAGCTCCCTCACAACCTGAGCTGGCAAGTCTGGGGCTGCTATGGGGATGTGGCCAAGAAACAGCCACCTCAGCCCAACACAATGGGGCTGGCAGGGCTTGGGAGCAAATCTGGAGTGCTGCTGGGGCTGTTGAAGGGCTGCTTTCAAACTGTGACAACTGACTTTGGAGCTTTTCTCTCTTTGAGCAAGCTGAAGGCAGCCCAGGCACATTTGCTACTTTCTGCCCTTTGAGCTGATATCAGGAAAGGGGGAAGATGGATGGGGTCAGGGAGCACGTGTCCACAGGAGATTTCCTCCCTGTATCCCCCCGTGAGGAGAACTGAGGTTCCCGTGAGGGTGAGGAGGAGGCCAAAGAGCGGCTGCTTCTCCTCGTCACTGGATTTCTAGCAGGAAATCTGTTGGGACATTCTCAGCGCAGCTTTTATCTCTGACTCCCTCCCCACTGAGAGCAAATGATGAGGCCACAAACCCTCCTGCACAGTGCTTCAGTGGTCTGCCAGTGTTTTTCGTCCTGTGGGCAGGCTCCTGGGACATCTCTCCCACCAGCCACTGAGTCTTTCCGTCAGACCTGGTCCAGCCATGCCCTACTCAGCCTGAGCAGCCCACAGATCAGCCCAAACTAGGGCAAAAAGCAGGTTGAGGAGGGCACACCCATGGTAAGAACCAGGTTTAATGAAGTCACAGCAAAACTCTCGGCTAACTCGCCCTACCTATGAAGATACACATTTCCGCAGGCTGTGAAATGTGTAATGTGAAAAAATGGTTGACAAAGTAATTTCAGCTCTGGCTGTGGTTTTCCTAGTCAGACACGAACATGGTCAGTAGCCCAACCCTTTGCTCCCCAGACGTGACAGCTGCTCAAAAGCTTTCTTTATTCTGAAAAGAAAAAAAATATTCCAAGCCTTCAATTTAAATACACAGAAATCCAGGTATGAGAAGTGTTAATTTGAATTTACACATAAGATATCATAACCTGTAGGGGATAAGGAGAAGATCAGAAAATAAAACCTGTATTTGCTTTTCCTGAATAAATTATATGATCAAGTTAAAAAAAAAAAAAAAGAAGAAAAAAAAAAGAAAAAGCTCTATTCCAAGTGCAATCACTTTTTCTGAAAACATAGCCTGCATAGACATGAATGAGGTGTTTAGTAAGCTCTGTCCATACTCTAGTGCGAAGAAGGAAAAAAATCACTTTGGTAGCTGAGCCAAGTGAGATAGCCAAACTCAACCTGAGAATGTTTCTGCAGATATCCACTGGGATGTAACACGCCCAGTTTTCAGTATGATGCATGTTCAATTGCAAAGCATCAGCATCTGCAGCAGAAGCCTCTTGGTAGAGCTGGTGAAAGCAGAGCAGAGCTATAACAGGAAATGGCAAATGGGTGGCTGCTTGGGTCCTGTAGCACAGCTTGCGGCCTTCAGCTAGGCTGTGTCTGATGTGGATGCCAACAAAGATGGGCTGCTCCAGCCCAGAACCATTTCAGTAGACCCCACCTGAATCTGAACTTACAAGCGGAAGCCCTGCCACATCTCTGCTGGCTTCACGTGAGCCATGGCAAGGAGAGCTGCTCCCATGGCTGCTGAGAGATGGTGATGGGGGTGGGGAGAAAACCTGTCATCATTTTTTTTGTGCAGTCACTAGTTTATTTTCTTGTGAATGATAGTAACAGTTCAGCCTACAAAGCTGATGTAGTTGTGAAACTTTTTTTCAGCTGTCACTGTTCAAAATGCCCCTGCATGGATATTTTAAAGCAGTCTGCTTTAACAGCGGTGTGACTATACCTAATGCCCTTACATAATTATTTCTTTAACTTGTTTTTTCAATAGTTTTATTACTCTGAAGATTATTTTAAAGCTTGTTGTTGCAATCATTGTTTCCACTTCTCATCTTTGTAACTGTTCTCAAGATTTATAAAGTCAGAATTTCCCAAAGCAAGATGCTTCTGCAAGTCATCTATTCAGTCAGGATGTAACAGATGCCTCCTGTCACTAGCTGAATGAATAGACAGGGCAAACTTCAGCTGAATGTCAATGCCCAGATTCCACATATTTTCAGAGGAATAAGAAGCTTCTGGCAAATTCATATCCACTTGGGATGAATGGATGGGTAACATAGGTGCAATATAAGGACTATTCTGGCACAGCCATCACTCAGAGTTCAGGCACACATGCCTACTACTGGTGTTTGCAAGATGTTTGCAAGACTGTGGCCTTAGAAAGGCTGTAGCAGACTGTGTGGGTTCATGAGTTACCTTGCTCTTCTCTCGCATGTCTTGGCCTCTGCAGTACAGACATGAGAACCTGGGATCTGGGCTGAGGGTGTGTAGTTTAAGAGGGTTCTGACTATTAGGAAGATCCCATCAACGGCTGGGATGGACCAACTGAAGTTTTGCTGGCCACCACTGGGAATAGGAGTGAAGAAAAGGGCATGGCCCAAAGCAAAACCCAGCTAACGTGCAAACGAGCCCACCATTCTATATCTTGGTTCTATCAAATGCCACCAGGTATCACATTGATGAGAAAGGCAGAGAAGGCAGCTGGGCTCAACCTGCCACTGCCTGTTGGGATTCTGAATTGGAAAATTTCTTACTCTTGTTTTATGCAAGTAAGCATAGAGGAAGGAAGGCAGCCAAGAGCTGGTTGAGAGATGTAAGTGCTTCTGCAGTAGGTGTTTGAGGTCAGATCTGCAGAAGGAACCGGCCTGAGCTGCATGAAGTCCCTGCTTGCTGCCCTGCTCAGCGCACCACTGCTGCCCCAGCCTCTGCCATGCAGACAGCCATGTGCAGCCAGTGTCAAGGTGCAGAGCTCTGGGGAAAATTGCCACCTGATGAGCTTACAAGGTCCCTTCCAACCTGGGGTGTTCTGTGATACCCATGAGCTGTAGATTTCATGGCCTGGTTTCATCAATGTCTGGTAGAAACACAGCTGAGACCTTTTGCTTCTTCATGCAGCAGCTTTCTGTACCTGGCACACCGTACTTGGACCTCTCTCCTTTATGTGCTTTGTATTCTTCATCCAAGCTAGGCATATCACTTTGACTCCTTCCTCCCATGGGATGGGATTTTATTGGCTTGCAGATTGCATTTGCTCTTACACAGATTTCTTGCATACAAATCAAGAAGTTGAGAGGAAGACAATGTAATGAATATGCTAAGCAT